GGGAGTCAGGATGGAATGACGTGGACTCAACTGAGTCCTGGCCCTGCATCCGGAGACCCCACAAGAACCAGCCCCAGTCAGCTGGGTGATGACTGCTTTGGGGTGAAAAGTTCACCCCCAAAGTTGGGGGAAAGTTGAGCTGCGTGGGCCCCCCAGGTCCTTCAGAACCCTTTCTTGGGAGCCCTGAATAGCCTGGGCCCAGAGAGTGAAGGGTGGGGTTTCAGCTCTGCCTTTGCCCATTCTCTTCAAGTCATTTGACTTCCCCAAGCCTCCGTTTCTCTATCTGTAAAATGGGAATGATAACCGAGAGAACATCCCAGAGTAGTGGTGAGGATTAACTGGGATGGGAGGTGACTGGCACTTAGCACATTGTCAAGCACTTAGTAACACCCCATAAACTACAGCTGCTGTGGTTATGATAATAATTGCTATTTGTTATCTCCTGGCTGTTCCAGACTTTCCTTTTGTGCACCTGACAGCTGGAGATGCCCCAACCACCATTTCTTCTACTGGGAAGAAAAGCCTTTGACAGGACCTGCAGTGGGGATGTGGTCACTTGCTAATCCTGTGCCATTCCTTAGCTCTTGGGGTCAAGGCGAGTTGACCCTGTCTTCCTGGGTACAGCAGGCCCTGGGCAGTGCCTGCTCTGACATCTGGCCACCACCTTGTCCTTGTCCCTTGGGGCACACACGTCACCCATGTGCCCACGATTTGCCCTCCAGGTCCACCTGGCCAAGCCCAGTTGCGTCCTGCAGGTCAGGCAGATGGTGTGCTGGGACATGGCTCCAACCAGCCCGCTAGCCCCCATCCTCCCCTCCTCCCAGTCTCGGCTGGTGGTCTCGTCCCCTTCACTCTCCTGCTCAGTAACTTTAAAAATAACAGAGGAGTCTGTCCCCACTGAGGGCTGTAACCTGACCCAAGTTGGATGCTGCTCCATCAGAGCCTGGAGTAGAAAGACTCAGCACTCAGGAGCTGGGGACCCCGGTGCTATTGCTGTTCTGTCCCCAGCTCACGGGGTGACCTTAGACAAGCCTCCCTCCCTCCCTCTCTGGGCCTTAGTTTCCCCATCTGTAAAATGTGGTTCGAACAGTCTGTGATGCTGGAGTGCAAAATTTTCTTTTATTCCAGTCAAGAAGATAACAGCTGGGGCTCCCAGGTGGGTGGTTGTCAGATGACATTACCCGAAGCGGAGGGTGTCGGGAAGGGACTGACCCAGTGACTGGGAGTCGGGATGGGGAGAGCTGGCCAAGCCCCTGGGCTGCTCCCTGGCAGATCTGCCTCCTGTCCCACTTCTGAATCCCAGCTCCTTCCCGGCAGCTAAGGGACTCCTTGTACCCACCAAGAGGTGAGTTGTAGCCAAGGTGGCTGACGGGGCCCAGGCAGCCGGCAGTAGCTTGGCCAGGAGGCCTGGTGAGGCATCCGGCCAAGAGCATCCCTCCCTGGCCTCCGACTCACACTCACCCACTTGCTGGCTCCTCGAGGCCTCTGCATTGCAGCAGCTAGAAGCCTGCGCTGGCAGCCCAGCCAGGGCTGGGGGTGGAACAAGGGCCTGGGCAGGGGGTGTCTGTTCCCCTGTCCCCACCTTCACTCCCTCCCCTGCCCTTGATCCCAGTCAGCCCTGGCTTCCCTTGGAGAGGCAGCTGCTGACAAAGCAACTGTCTTCTCTAGAACATACTTGAGTCTTCCTAGAAGTGCTGTGATGACAGCAGGGCCCAGGCTTGGGGAACGTCACGCCCCTGGGTCCCCTCTGCATCTCAGACCCTCCTGAGCATCATTAAAGGTCTTGCCTACCCCTGAGATGCTGTTTTGAAGAATTATGCCTTTGGAGTTGAGAGCACAGATTTTGGAACTCGAAGGCCTTGGTTCACATCCCAGGTGTGCCACTTCCTAGCTGTGTGACCTGGGGCAGGTTACTTAACCTCTCTGTGCCTCAATTTTCTCACCAGAAAACGGGGATGATAATAGAACATACCTCATAGGATTCTTGTGAGGATGAATGCATGTAAATCACTCAGAACAGTGCCAGGTGCACGATAACATCAATAAGTGTCAGCTCTTGTTACTGTTGCCGCTGTCCTTGTCATTGTTATCACTGTGTGTCATCAGTTCTGCTTCTTAGCTGAGCCCCCTCTGGTATAGACTGTTCTCCTTCAGTGAATACTCTCTGTTAACACTTGCTATATGTGTGTGTATTCTGCTCCATATATATATATATATATATATATATATATATATATATATATATATGTAAAAATATAAATATATATATATAAATATATATTTAATTGAAGTATAGTCGATTTACAATGTGTTAGTTTCTGGTGCACAGCACAGCGATTCAGTTATCCATATATATACATATTCTTTTTCATATTCTTTTCCATTATGGTTTATTACAGGATTTTGGATATAGTGCCCTGTGCTATACAGTAGGACCTTGTTGTTTATCTGTTTTATATACAGTAGTTTGTATCTGCTACTCCCAAACTCCTAATTTATCCCTTCCCCACCCTTTGGTAACCACAAGTCTGTTTTCTATGTCTGTGAGTCTGTTTCTGTTTCATAAATATTTGTGTCATATTTTAGATTCCACATATAAGTGATATCATATGGTATTTGTCTTTCTCTTTCTGACTCACTTCACTTAGTATGATCATCTCTAGGTCCATCCACGTTGCTGCAAAGGGCATTATTTCATTCTTTTTTATGGCTATGTAGTATTCCATTGTATATATGTACCACATCTTCTTTATCCATTCATCTGTTGATGGACATTTAGGTTGCTTCCATGTCTTGGCTGCTGTGAGTAAGGACTTGCTATATTGACATGCATTTTAGCTTAGCAGTTTAGAGCCCAGCTTTTGGAACCAGACAGCTCTGCGTTCAAATCCCGGCTCTGCTGCTCACCAGCTGTGTGATCTTTGGCAAGTTATTAGCTTCTCTGGGCCTCAGTTTCTCCATCAGCTAAATGGGCATGATAATAGTGTAAATCTCGCGAAGTTGCTGTGAGGATTAAATAAGCAGACACATACAAAGTGCGTGACCCACATAAAGGGCGGGGCTGCACAACTGTTTGCTTGTAGTAATTGGGCACCTGCTGTGTGTCAGGCATGTCGTACCGAGATTGCGAGCCAGGTGCTGGGACCCTTCACACACTGGCTCGAGTCCTGGCTTGGGCCTTTGTTGGCTGAGTGATATGGGCCATGTGCTTTTGCCTCTGTGTGCCTCAGTTTCTCCAGCTGTAAATGGGAATGTGGAAGCAGCAGCCTCATGGGGTTGTGTGGGGTTTCTGACATTGGTCTGAGCACTGGAGCTGTGGGGGGAGAGGGTCTCTCAGTCTGGCCCCCATTCCCAGTCACTACTCACAGTCACCCCTCCTGTTGCTCTGCACCTCTCCCCTCCGCTGGGGACTCCAGAGCTTTGCCCATTTTGCAGATGGGACAACAAAGACCCCAAGGGAGAAAGGGACGAACCCAAGTCATGAGGTGGCACTCAGGGGCGCACCCAGTCTGGTCCCAGTCCTGCCCTGGACAAGCCCCACTCCCAAACTCAGGCCCCCAGGCCCACCTCCCCCCGTGTCTCTGCAGCTCCTGGCGTCTCCCAGGCCTTGGTCCAGGCCTGAAGGACCCAACGTGGGACATACCTTAGGTAAAGCAGACATCATGCTCCAGAAAACCACAAGGAGCTAGGGCTGAGGGCGAGGACCAACCTGGGCTGGAGGAAAAGATTCTGGAAACTTCCAGGCAGATACAAAAGTCTCTGGGTTGCTCACAGGCCTGCAGACACCACTTCTTGATCTAAGAGGGTTCAGGTTTATTTCGGGAGACTGAAGGCCTGATGTGGGGAGGAGGGAAGTGGACAAACATTTATTAAACATGCACTATATGTGGTAACAATCAGTAGCAATTATTACGGGCTCGGCACTGTGCCCAGACCTGATGTTCACATATTAAACCTCCTGCTAACATTTTACAAAAGAAGAAACAGGTTCAGAGAAATTAATGATTATAGTAGTAGTAGGGGTAGTAGTCATAAGGCAATGACTCTTCATTACCTCCTTTGCTGATCTCAGTTTCATCTGCAGAGCCCTGCACATCCCTGCACCCTCACTTTTCTGACCTCATGGGGCCTCTTTGCCTCCCTCAAGCCACACGTTCCTACCTCAGGCTCTGGCGTTGTCTGTTCCACCTGTCCAAAATGCTTTTCCCCCAGATCTCCACGTGGCAGCCTCCCTCACCTCTTTCAGTCTTACTCAAGGGTTACCTTCACAGCGAGGTCTTCCCTGGCCCCCTATTTATTTATTTGTTTGTTTGTTTGTTTATTTTTGTCTGTGTTGGGTCTTCGTTGCTGCGCGTGGGCTGTCTCTAGTTGCGGTGAGCGGGGGCTACTCTTCGTTGCAGTGCGCGGGCTTCTCATTGCGGTGGCTTCTCTTGTTGCGGAGCATGGGCTCTAGGCACGTGGGCTCAGTAGTTGTGGCTCGCAGGCTCTAGAGCACAGGCTCAGTAGTTGTGGCGCATGGGCTTAGTTGCTCCGCGGCATGTGGGATCTTCCTGAACTCATGTCCCCTGCATTGGCAGGTGGATTCTTAACCACTGCGCCACCAGGGAAGCCCTGGCCCACTATTTAAAATTGCCCTCACCACCCCTCATGGCCCCTCGTTCCTCACACCCCAGCCCTGTCTCTTAACATACTGTATCATTTAGTTATTATGTTTATTATCTGTCTCTGACATGAGTGTCTCATCTCCACAAGAGCAGGGATCTTTGTTATTTTTGTTCACTATTAAACCCCCAGTTGCAAAGAACAGAGTCTGGCCCACAGAGGGTGCTCAATAAATATTCCTTGAATGAGTGGAGCCGTCACAGTACCTCTGTGAAATCAGTATTCTTGTCACTGCCATTTTACAGATGAGGAATCTGAGGCTCAGAGACGTCAGTTGACTTGCCCAAGGTCACACAGCCAGCAAGTAGCACACCTGAACCCCTTGCCCTGTTGCCCCTACAGGTCTGGCCTCGCCCCACAGACAATGGCCTTGCCCCCATGAGCTAGAGCCTGCCCCTCGGTGCCTGCCCACCACCCACCAGCAGGATGCAGCTGTGGAAGGCAGTGGTGGTGACCCTGGCCTTCATGAGCTTGGACGTCGGCATGACCACGGCCATCTACGTCCTCAGCCACCTGGACCGCAGCCTCCTGGAGGACATCCGGCACTTCAACATCTTTGACTCGGTGCTGGACCTCTGGGCGGCCTGCCTGTACCGCAGCTGCCTGCTGCTGGGGGCCACCATCGGCGTGGCCAAGAACAGCGCCCTGGGGCCCCGGCGGCTGCGGGCCTCATGGACGGTCATCGCCCTGGTGTGCCTCTTTGCGGGCATCTACACCATGGTGAAGCTGCTGCTCTTCTCCGAGGTACGCAAGCCGGTCCGGGACCCGTGGTTCTGGGCCCTCTTTGTGTGGACCTACATCTCACTCGCTGCGTCCTTCCTGCTCTGGTGGCTGCTGTCCACAGTGCAGCCGGACGCCAAGGCCCTCGAGCGGGGGGCAGGGGCCGAGGCCGAGGGCCTCCCTGGGGAGGACCGGCCCGCGCCCGAGCAGGCCTCCAGGGCCACGCTGCAGAAGCTGCTGTCCTACACCAAGCCCGACATCGCCTTCCTCGTGGCCGCCTCCTCCTTCCTCATCATGGCAGCGCTGGGTAAGTGAGGGCTCTCTTCTTTCCTCTCACATTTTAACATCTTACTTACGTGGTTCAGATATCAAATTGATACGCAAAGGTAAACACTGAGAGTTCCACTCCTAATTCTACTCCTGACTACCCTGATCCCAGTGCCCAGGGCTAACTACAGAAAAAGGTTCCGGAAGCTTCCAAGTGGGTAGGAAACCACTTTTATTCCTTTCTTATATATGCTTCCAGCGTTTCCTTATGCGGCTACAAGCAGATAAGTACACGTCACTCTCCCCACCTCTTACACTCCATTCTGTGTCTTGCTTTTCTCACTTAACAATATATCCCAGAATTTTTCCAATCAGTATCTCATTCTTTTATTTGGCTGTGTAATACTGCACTGTGTGGCTGTACCATAGATTATTTAGTCGGTCTCCCGTTGTTGGACTCTTGGGTTGTTTTGAGTCTTTTTCTCTTGTTCATACATGTTTCATATAAATGTGCATATATCTGTAGGATAAGTTCCTAGAAATGGCATTTATAGGTTCAAAGCATTTTTTGTAATGAAGCAGAATAGAATAGAGCCATCAGGGTATGTAGTCTGTGGTAAGATTAAGTATTGTTTTGTGAAACTTATTTTAGCTGTGTGCGCCTGTGTGTGTGTCTTGGTTGGTGATGTAAATTGTATCTGTTACTGTGGATCTGGTCCAAACAGTTTTAAAGCAACACTCCAGCAACGTGGGTGGGAAGGGACATCACAGGGTGGAAACTCCATGGGTTCTGGGGGTTCTTGGGCAAGTGCTCAAACCTTTCAGAGCTTCACTTCCTCCTTCTGTGAAATGGGGATTGGGAGCATCCTTATCCCAAGGTGTTGTAAAGTTTGAATAAAAAGACAGAGAGGGGCTTCCCTGGTGGCGCAGTGGTTGAGAGTCCGCCTGCCGATGCAGGGGACGCGGGTTCGTGCCCCGGTCCGGGAAGATCCCACGTGCTGCGGAGAGGCTGGGCCCGTGAGCCGTGGCCGCTGAGCCCGCGCGTCCGGAGCCTGTGCTCCGCAACAGGAGAGGCCGCAACAGTGAGAGGCCCGCGTACCGAAAAAAAAAAAAAAGAGAGAGAGAGAGAGAGAGAGAGAGAGAAGGACAGGTACAGAGCTTGGTGCGGCGTGATGAGCGCAGGAATGTTAGCTGCCATGAGTCATTACATGTTTAACTCCCAGGGACAGAGTCTGGGAGTAGCCACAAAGCCAGAGTGATCTCAGAGAAGACAGGAGAACCCCAGAGCCCATTTCCTCGTACCATCCATCCTCCACCCTCTCAGTCCCGGCCCCTTAACCGCTGTGTGATTTTAGGCAAGTTACTTAACCTCTGTAAGTCTCATCTCCTCATCTGTAAAATGGGCATCAGCAGTTGCGGGGTTGCGAGGTGCAGTGAGTTAATCCGAGCAAGACGCCTCGGACAGCTCGTGGCTCATAGAAAACTCCCAGTAAACTTTAGTGGCCGTGAGTGTTGGGATGACCCCTTTTCATTTAACCAGATAGTTTCTCCTACTCATGCTTCAAGGCCCAAATGTCTGCTCCTGAGACGCCTACTCAGATTCTGCCGACCGTGGCCCTTAATTACAGCATCGGTGACATGAAAATCACACGCCCACTCTCCTTTCTCCCCTTCCAGGCTTTGAGCCCCTCGCGGACAGGGGCCAGGTCTGACTCATCCAGGGCCCCTGATACCTGGCACAGAATCAGACTTACTGAGTGAATCAATGAATGAATGAATGAATGACCGTCCTGCCTGTGTTGGCAGATGTTGCCCCCACGGCCTCGTTTCCCCTGCCTCCCAGGGTGCTGTTGTCAGCTGGTGTGCGCTTAGGGAATACAGATGTCCTAAAATACAGCCAAGCAGATTGCACCAGCCTGCAGGATTATGTCAGGTTATGGGCTTCAACTGAAATCAGGCCCCCCGACTTCATCAGTGATTTTAATCAAGTTTACTTAACGTGGCCAAGCTTCAGCTTCTCATCGCGCAATGAGGGCTTCCTCAGGTTATTGTGAAAATTAAATGAGGTGAAGCACAGCGCCTGCAAAACTAGGTACTTCTTCATAAAAGGTAGGTACTGTGATTATTAACAGTTATTTTTCAATCAGCAAGCAGTAGGGTTCAGCTTTTTCTGAAACCTTATAATCTAAAAGAAAAACCAGCCATTGTGAAAAAAAAAAAACGTTAGTTTTAGTGCTGAGTATCTCCCGTTGAGATATGGATTTCATGGCAACCTAACTACAATAACCTTGGGCAAATGACTTAGCCTCTCTGAGCCTCAGTTTCCTCATCTGTAAAATGGGAAGAATGATAATAGACCACCTATGGGATTATTGGGAAGCAATTGAGACTTGAAAGAGATGAGGGAGCAGCTATCTGGGGTAACAGTGCTCCAGGCAAAGGGAACAGCCCGTGCAAAGGTCCTGAGGCAGGAAGGTGCCTGATTGTTAAAGGAAAAGCAGAGAGGCCAGCGCAGCTAGAGCAGAGGGAGTGGGGGGAGAGAAGAAGATGAGGCAGCTCAGTAGCAGGGCCCAGTCATGCAGGGTGCCGTCCAGCCACTGTAAGCCCTTTGACTTTGATGCTGGATGAGATGATCTGCCTTGGGTTTCACAGGCTCCCGCTGTCCGTTGAGTGGAGAACAGGCTGATGGGGATAAAGGTGGCGGCAGGGGGAACCAGGGGTTTGCTGAGATAGTCCAAAGGAGGTAGTCCAAAGGAGGACGAACCCGGGTGGGGCAGTAGAGGCAGAAAATTCTGGAAATATTTTGAAGGTGGAGTCACAGGATTTGTTGATGGACTAGAGAGTTTCACCTGGTTCTTGGGCAGATTGGACAAAAGAGTTTGCGTACCTGCTTAGCACAGCACCTACCCAGCAAGGGCTCCATAAATGTCCATGGTGGTTAATATCATCACTGGTGCTTGCTGGAATCATAATGCTGCTAGAGCTCGCTGATGCCCTTTACTTCCCTGTAGGTAAACTGAGGCAGAGATTCAGCTGAGGTAGAACTTCACAGGGGTGCCTGGAGACCCCATCTGGCCAAGGACACAGGGGAGACAGAGACCCTCTCGGCTGCCGCCCTGTGGTCCCTGTGCTGAGACCAGCAGAGGGCGCCAGAATGCCATGGAAGGTCTCACTGTCCTGGTTGAGCCAGTCCTGCAGAGCTGACCAGGGAAGGGCCTGCCCCACCTGCCCAGGGTTCATTCATTGACCTTTATTGAGTGACTCCTGTATGCCCAGGCCTGAGCCAGGCTATGGCTGCTGAAAGAGCTGCAGTGAAAACAGGGGACACAGCCTGGTCTGACCACCTTCTATTCCGTGTCCATCATTTCCATAAGATGGGAGCTGGCACTTACTCTGGGTCATTGGGAGGGAAGGCACACGTCATGAGCCCCCAGATTGGAAGCTAATTTGGGTTTGAGTCCTGGCCCTTCCTCTTAATTGCTGTGGGACCTTGGGCGAATTACTCAGCCTCTCTGAGTCTCCCACTCCCATGTGAAATGGGGTGGCATCCCTGCCCAATGCCCCCCTCCCCACGTCCACCCAGGATTGTTGTGAAGATATAGCAGGACATATGGGTAAGAAATTATCTGACAAACTGTAAAGTGCCCCATCAAGAGGGGCGGGGTGGCAATTTACAGCATTGCTCAGAACCAGAATATCCACATACTCCGAGGGTCTAGAATTCGGACTCTGAAGCCTCGGCCAAAGAGAAGAAGGAAGTGAACTTTGGCGTCTATCAGCCACCGGTTGTGTGGCTGAGCGAGCGTCAGCTCATCTTTTCAGCTCCACTTTCCTCATCTGTAAAATGGGGGATAACAGAGCCGACTTCAGGGTCCACGTGCAGAGGGGGTGAACTGTCACACGGGAGCCCCTTGTCTCTGTGTGCTTGATGCCCGGTCGCCATTATTCACGATAGCATGACCCAGTCTGTATAGATTAAGTAACTCACATTTCCCGTGTTCCTGTTCTCTGAAGAGAGGCATTAAGCAGTGTGGGACCCCTTCCCTGCCCCCTGCCCCGTTGAGAAGCAGGAGTTTGCCGAGAGAGAAAACCCCACGGTGGAGTCAGCACTGTGGGTGGTATGGGGGCTTCCAGAGGCTCAGGAGGAAGGGCAGAGGCTCCCCTGGTTGCAGATGCCCCCTGAGCCCGCCCTGTCTCCGCAGGAGAGACCTTCCTCCCCTACTACACGGGCCGGGCCATCGATGGCATCGTCATCCAGAAGAGCATGGAGCAGTTCAGCACGGCCGTCACCGTCATGTGTGCGCTGGCCATCGGCAGGTAGCGGCCCATGCCCTCCCCCACCCGCCCAGGCCTGCTGCGGGGAAGGAGGGCAGGGCCAGCTCCCCAGAGGAAAAGGGGCCAGGGAGGCCCGGGAAATGCCCCTGGGGGGGCTGTGCCTCAGCTGGTCCCCGCGGTAACTAACAACCCAGCTGGCTTAGTTCTGCCCCTCCGGTTGAGCCACACCCTAGAGCAGCGCCCTTTTGTCCCTACAAATGGCTTCAGTCCTGGGGGTTCCCCTTTCACCAGCACCCTCCCACCCCCGGCGGTTTTCCAAGCGGGAAGCAAGGACCAGCCTTGTCTGTGCTCTTCTGGAAGGGAGAGGGGTCTGGCTGGCAGAGCTGGGCCCTTCACCCACAGTAAACGCAGTCCCCTCTGCGCCCTCACCTTGGGAGCTCCTGTTGGGAACAGGGAAACCCTGTGGTGGTGCCAGCTCCGGAGAGTGGGCTCGAGGTCGGGGTGCCACCCGGTCTCTGCCCTGTGAGGGGTCCATGCCTGCCAGCAGAGGGGGGTGGCGGGTGGTGGCGGTTGGTTGTCGGAAGGACGTCGTGCTATATATAACATCTCTTATCTGCAATTAGCTCATTTGCCGCAGGTATTCGGGGCGGCATTTTTACCCTCATATTTGCCAGACTGAACATTCGCCTTCGGAACCGTCTCTTCCGCTCGCTGGTATCTCAGGAGACGAGCTTCTTTGACGAGAATCGCACAGGTTGGTCCTCCTGGGGCCTCGGGTGACCTGGGGCTGGGCCCGGCCAGGTGGGCCTGCCTTGCATTGAGGATTTAAGTGGGTACGTCCATGGTCTCAGTCCTGATGGCTCTTCCTGCCATCCAGTTCAGGATGGGGACACCCCGGGAGGCTGGCTTGGGCCTCTGGCCCTGCCTGAGCCCTGGGGAGCTGGCCTGCTGGCTGAGGTTTTGGTGTGAACTGCGGCCACTATAGGACCCTCGCTAGGCCACCCGCTGTCCCTGCAGCAACCAGGCCTCACCTCCCACTGGCTTGTGGGAAGCACAAGGCCGGGACTACCCAGGCCTGTGGCCTGAGAGGCCCAGCTCCTATGGGAGTGAGCAGGGCGGACGTGCAGGGCAGAGCAGGGAAGACATTACAGCATCCGGCCCAGACCCAGGCTCTGAGGCAGACCAGCCTGGGTGCAAGCTCTGTCACTAACTTCACCTCCCTGAGCCTCTGTTTTCTCCTCTGTAAGATGGGAACAATAATGGTAGCTGCCCTGTGGGATTGCTGTGGAACTCTTAGCCCAGTATCCAGCAGTCAGTAAAGGGCTTTCTGTTCCTCTCCCCTCCACAGCCCAGATTGTTATTTCGGTGACGGAAGAGGGGAGTGGCCCCTCTGCCAGTGACAGGGAGGAGACGTGGGCTCGGCTCTGGCTCAGTCACGGCCACGCTGTGTGGTGCTGAGCAAGCCTCTTCCCTTTCCTGAGCCTCAGCTGCCTCCTCTGTGCTCTGGGAGGTGTGACGCTGAAGCAAGATGCTGGTGACAAGGCCTGGGCTCAGAGCAGCCCTCAAGGGGCATCTGCTCTCCCTCCCTCCCCACCCCGCCCAGAAGGTGGGGAAGGTCTGAGCTCCCCGAGGGTCCCCTGCCGCTGCCCACTGTGACCCCACTGCCACAGCGGGAGCTGAGCTGCCTGTGTTCCAGGGGACCTCATCTCCCGCCTCACCTCGGACACCACCATGGTCAGCGACCTGGTCTCCCAGAATATCAACATCTTCCTGCGGAACACGGTCAAGGTCACGGGCGTGGTGGTCCTCATGTTCAGCCTCTCCTGGCAGCTCTCCTTGGTCACCTTCATGGGCTTCCCCATCATCATGATGGTGTCTGACATCTACGGCAAGTACTACAAGGTAGGCCCCGCCTGGTCCCCGCTGGGGTCTGAGCCCTGGCAGCTCCTGAGTGACCCCTTAGGCAGGTGCAGGGGGCCACCAGGGGCTAGTGAAGGACTCATCGTAAGGCTGCATTTGCGTTCATTCACTGGTTCATTTCACTCATTCAATAAATACTTATTGAGCACCTACCGTGTCCCAGGCACTGGTTTATATCAATGAAACAGACAGGGCCCCTGCCTTCAGGGGGCATATATTCTAATAAGAGAAACAGACAGTAAATAACAGCGATGCTAATAATGAAAATATATAATACAGTAAAAGATCATAACTGCTAAGGAGAAAAATGAAGGGAGAGATTGGGAGCATTGGGGCTGGTTGCCAGTTTTAAATAGATCTTTCTGAGAAGGTGGCATTTGAGTAAAGAGGTGGACGGCTCGGGGAAGCACATCCCAAGCAGAGGGCACAGCCAGTGCAAAGGTCCTGAGGTGGGACTGTGCCTGGCATGTTTGCGGAGCCTCAGAGAGGCCGGTGAGGCCAGAGCCAGGAGTGAGGGGAGAGCAGGGAGGTCACGGGGGCCAGATGGTGTCGGCCTTTGCGGGAAGTTTGGTTTTCACTCTGGGTGCAAAGTTTGCTCTCTTTCTATATGTTTATGTCGGCGGGGAGGGCTCAGGCCCCCGGGAGCTAGGCCCTCGCCCACAATGCAGTGATGGGCAGGCAGCAGTCCCCTCAGGCCGCCCCTTGGCACTGCCTCTGTCAGAAGGCCAGCCTGTAAGCTAGGCCCCTGCCTCACCTTCCTCCTGCTTCCTGCGGTGGTGGGTGCCCCTGAGCCCTAACGGAGCCAGGCTGGTTTCAGACAGTGTAGGTGGCCCCTCCTCAGTGCTCCAGGCCTGCGGGGGCAGGGACACGCCTGAGCAGGGGCTGGGACACGTGATCAGCTCAGGGTCCCCAGTTTGGTCGGAACCCTTGGCACCCTTGACCTGAGGCCAGCCCCCAGATGGATCCGTTCCCCACAATCCAATGTGTCACCTCTGGCAGAGCCCACCACCCAGGAGGGCCCTCTCCCCAGCAGTTCTGGGTCACCAGCCTCACTGTTTTCCTCCCTGAGTAGAAAAAGTAAATATATGAGTTGGAGCTGTTTCCCTTCCACACCGCCCTTCCTGCCTTCCTGCCCGCCCCTGAGAGGGGGCAGGAAACCCTGGAGCTCCCTGCACCAGCCCCGCCTCTGCACACACCTCAGGCCCCACCTTTAAGTTCAACCGGGCAGGACCTCAAGGAAGCCCTGTTTAGGTCTCGTACCTGTACCCGAATGTGTAGGATACAGACATCGCCACAAGCCACACACATCGCCCGCAGCCAGACATGACGCAAGGCACAGCCTGGCTTCTCCCAGGATGCCTGAGTGTACTGCATGCTTCCGATGGCCTGGGCATGACTCGCAGGTCATGGGACATGCCTATGGAGGAGGCTGTCTCAGCCTCCTGGGCAGCCTTCCTGGCTGGTGTGAGATTCTGAGTGTGGTTACTGAAAGCCTGAATAGCGTGGCCCAGGGCGGCTTCTGGAACTCTGTGGGCAGCAGCCTGGTGGTCATGTACTTGGAACCACTTCTCAGCCATCCGTCTCCAGTTATAAGCACACGATGAGGGCAGATTTCATAGCCCGTGGCCTCCACCACCATCTAGAACTTGGCTAGGAGTTCTGGAATCTCTGTGCCAACCCTCAGGCTCTCACCTAATTTGATATATGTTGCTGGATGTAAATGGTGCCTCCTTAATAGTTAGTGTTTCTTGTGTAGTGTACAACCTGAACAACCATCCAGGGCATCCCTGCTCTTATGCCAGCGCAGAATCAGGTATTGAGACTTCTTTTTCTCAGAGGATTACCCAAAACTGTGTGGTCACGTATAACCTCCTCTGAATACTGGAGATGACTTCATGATCAGCCCCCCCCTCCATGCCTCAGGAGCTAGAGCCTCAGGAGCTCACCCTAAGAGCCCAGCTGGAGTCTGTTCTCTGAGTTCAGCAAATCAAGCTAGAAGGGAATGGGGGAGGAGGGGAGATGGGTCTTATCCCCTTGTCCCTGGAACTCCCTGCACAGAGCTGGCACCAGCTAAAGACAGAAAACACCAGAGAGGCCTGGGGGCTCAGGCAGAGGGTGAGACTGTGTGTTTTGGGGTCTCTTCCTTCTTGTCGCGCCTCCCACCCATAGAGGCTCTCCAAAGAGGTCCAGAATGCCCTGGCCAGAGCCAGCAGCACGGCTGAGGAGACCATCAGCGCCATGAAGACAGTCCGGAGCTTTGCCAACGAGGAGGAAGAGGCGGAGGTGTACTCGCGGAAGCTGCAGCAGGTCTACAAGCTGAACAGGAAGGAGGCTGCGGCCTACATGTACTACGTCTGGGGCAGTGGGGTACGTGCCCCGGCCAGGGCAGGTCTCACACAAAGATGGGGGACCCCTAGATCAGGACATTAGCCCAGGTCCAGGCATGCTGATGTGACACTTGACTTTGTCCCAACTTTCTGCTTGTCCTCAGAGAATCTTTCTGGAAAGGAATTCAGCCTCTCGGTGCATGTCCTCAAGCAGGGCACCTCCTTTCTCCCTCTCACCTGGGCGTGGGGTGGCAGGGTAGGAGCTTTCTTTTCCCAGCTAGGGAAGCGTCCCTGCCAAGGTGGGGAGTCTCCCTGAGGCCAGCTGGGACCCATTCTCGGCCGCTTCCCTGCAGGTCCTATGTCACAACCACACACATGCCCCCATTAGAGTGTCCAGCTCACTCCCTGGGGGGTGAGTTATAGCCCCTCCTGGAGCAGAAGCACTTGGGTCCTGTCACTTTGTGCTGGCCACATCTTGGGGTGGGCTGTTGGGGAACAGCTGGGGTAGGAATGAGGAGGGTTTGGTATTTAGGGGGAGGAAAGAGAGGGTGGTCTACAGGGAAAGCAGGGAATAAGGACCTTCTGGGTCCCCCCAGGGTGGGCCACCCCTCAAAATTGCCCAGCCAGGAAGAAGAAGGGCCTGAAATCCAGCTCACCTATAGCCAAGCCTCTTGGCAGTCTGCCTGCCAGCAGGGGCGCCTCTTGCCGATTGTGCAAAGGCACTGTGGCCCAGCCATTGATCTAGTTCTGACCCAGCATCGCTGGCTTGGGTTGGGGAGGGGCAAATAGGGACCCAGTGGGTTGTCATGGGTACGCAGGTCCCACTCCTCTCTCAGACCACTCCCCCAGACACCAGAGGGGGCTGGAGGCAAGCACACCCTGGACAAAGCCCCTCCTTCATGGAAACACAGATCTCGTCTGCTTTGCCTGGCTTGCTGTGTGACCTTAGCCAGTGGACTCAGCCTCTCTGAACCATGCTCTTCCCAATAAGGAGAAGACTAATAGCTCCAGTTTGGCCTCACTGAGGCGCCTGGGGGCTGTGTATGTGTGCCAGGGCCTTACAAAGAAAGCCTTGTTCCCAGCAAGGCTCATGGCCTGTTCCAGCTGGGGGCCTTTGCAGGGAAAAACTCCATGGCGGGGGTGTGGAGGGCATGAGTGACAGAAGGGCCCCAGCTTGTGGGAGGCCATCCCTGCTGCAGGCTGGAGTTTCAGTCTGTGGCTGTGAGTGAGGCGCCCACAGCTGCTCTCACCTCCCCTGCGGGGCAGGGGACACAGGGGCTGGGGGGTAGGTCTGAGCCAAGGCCCCCATGACTCAGATCCCCCTTTCCCTCTTCCCTCCAGCTCACTCTGCTGGTGGTCCAGGTCAGTATCCTCTACTATGGGGGCCACCTCGTCATCTCAGGGCAGATGACCAGCGGCAATCTCATCTCCTTCATTATCTACGAGTTTGTCCTGGGAGATTGTATGGAGGTGAGGGGCCGGCGGGGGGGGGGGGGCCCTGGGGAGGAGGGAGAGGGATCTAAATGGGGGTGCTCCCGGGTTCACGGGAGGTGGTATTTCTTTCTAAAGAACGTGACAATACCGATAATACTAATAAAGAGAGTAATACATACAAGTGACAGCAACTCCATTTAGGGAGCAAAGTGGCAGCGACAGCAATTATTTCAGAAGGTTCTCCTGAACACACTGTGCACGATCAGTGCTACTCCAGTCCCCATTTCCTAGAAAAAGAAGCTGAGGCTCAGAGTGGTTAAACGACTTGCCCACCACGTTTGTAAGGGAACCGAGTTCAGAGGCAGATGGTCTGACTTTATTTTAACCCACTTTAAAGAGTAGCTCCATGGAAAAAGAACAGAGTGGGTTGTTGTTTTTTTTAATAGATTATGTCTTAATTTGGCTGCTCCCACCAGCAGGTCCCGAGACTAGGGAGCTGGCATGCTTGTGCCGAAGCTGCCATCAGTCACTGTTGGAGGATGCTTGGAGTGCTTCTCTGGTCTGCCTCCCTCCCCCCACAAAGCCCTCCGGCATTAAGATTGAGCCTCTGTGTCCTGCAATGATAAAGCTCAAAGATGTGGCAGGGGAGGGGTGGGTTAGCATCTGCTGCAGATGGCATTTTGTGTTAGCTACAGTCATCCATGCAGTGTCATTTGAATCAGCATCTCGGAATCCGTGCTTCAGAAATATCCACACTAGTGGCCAAAGACGTGTCCCAGGATGTTCAGTGTGGCATTGTTTATAATGGTGAAAAGTTAAATGCCTGTCAACCAGCAATTGGGTGAATACAGTACATCTGTATTCTAGAAACAGTCCATCTGTGCTATGAAAACTAGGCAGCAGCCACAAAAATGAGGTAGAGCTGTGTGCACTGGCATGGAAAGAACCCTAAGACATGCTGTTAGTGAAAAAGCTAATCCCCGAGTCATAAGGATGGTCTGATCCCATTTGTGGGTTTTTTTTCCATCTCAAAATGATTTAATTACATACGTGCATGTGTTTGTAAAAGCACAGAGAAAGGACTCGAAAGACACAGTTCTCGGATAACCAGGGCCACCTCTGGGATGAAGCAAGAAGGACAACTTATACATAGCACCTGTATCTCAATAGGAATAATTATATCCAGATATTATGATAATAGCCATAGCTGTGGTGTTTTGGGGGTTTACTATGTGCTGAGCACTGTCTTCGCGGAACCATGACAATGGTACTAATATCAACCCCATTTCATCAACCAGGCAGTCACAGCTCATAAGGGCCTGAACTTGGGAGCCAGATGTGCCTGGGTTCGAATCCTGGCTCTGCCACTTCCTGGCTGTGTGACCTGGGGGAGTCACTTGTGCTCTCTGTGCCTCAGTGTCCTTATCACCAGAAAGGAGATAATGATAGAACCTACCTCGTAACATATATAAGTACTCAGTAAGATGAGTCATTATTCACACTTATACTTGTGTATATTTTTACCCAAGGAGATGTACAGTATAAATTAAGGGCCATTTTTAAAATTGAAATTTAAAAATTCTGTGACAGCTGAAAGAGGAAGGTCCGATTCCTGCTCTGCCACATTCTGCCTAGTTCATTTAACTTCTCTGTGCTTCCGTTTCCTCCTCTGGAGGGTGATAACACCTAGTCTGCTGGACCGTGGTGAGGTTTAGCTATAACACACAAGCCACCAGTATTTTTTATTGCTGTCCTCATTTTTTCATTGTTGTCATGATCTGCTGTACTAGCAGGTGGGGGTCCAGCAGCCTCCCGTGGGCACCCCACCCCCAGAGCTGCTGCTGTGTGCTTGCTCTCTCCTCACCCGCTTCAGCTCTCTGGCACCGTGGCGGGGGCGGGGGTGTCCCAGGATCGGGGCATTGATGGGTCAGGAACATGTGTCTACTCCCCCTGCAGTCCGTGGGCTCCGTCTACAGCGGCCTGATGCAAGGAGTGGGCGCCGCGGAGAAGGTGTTCGAGTTCATTGACCGGCAGCCAACCATGGTGCATGATGGGAACTTGGCCCCTGACCACCTGGAGGGCCGGGTGGACTTTGAGAACGTGACCTTCACCTACCGCACTCGGCCCCACACCCAAGTCTTGCAGGTGAGAGAGGGCCCAAGCCCCCCCACCCCGCCAAAGTCATCCTTTCCCTCATCCCATCTCTCGCACACCTTCTACAGGCCAGGCCATGGCAGTGCAGCCAGGAACATGAAAGGCCAGGAACACTGAAGACAGATCATATTAACAAAAGGATTCCTGGAGATGTGCTAGGAAGGCAATAAGTCAGGGGTAGTCTGCAGAGATGGTATTAGCAGTCAAGGAGGGCTTCTCGGAGGAGGTGACATTTGATATGAGACCTAAACAAGGAGCAGGAGCCAGCCATTGGTTCTCTGCAGAAAGAACATTCCAGGCAAAGGAGACAAGTATAAAAGTGCTGCCAAATCCTAGAAAGGAGAGCATTCTGGGGCTGGCGGTGGGGCAGGCTGGGAAGGGTGCCCGCCTGCATCTGAGGCCAGAGCATATGAGCGAGGGGCCCCACACCGTGTCTGCGTGTTCCTTGCAGAATGTCTCCTTCAGCCTGTCCCCAGGAAAGGTGACAGCGCTCGTGGGGCCGTCGGGCAGTGGCAAGAGCTCCTGCGTCAACATCCTGGAGAACTTCTACCCCCTGGAAGGGGGTCGCGTGCTGCTGGATGGAAAGCCCATCAGCGCCTATGACCACAAGTACTTGCACCGAGTGGTACGTGCATGGGGCTTTGCTGCCCTCCTCTGCCCTTTCCTTGTCTGACCTTCTCTCCCGCGGGCACGCACACAGGTGCAGGGAAGAGGGCTCAAGACACACGTACATTTCAAAGAATTATCACCAGTTCAAGAATTGGAATATTTCAGCACTCTCCCCGCAAGAAGCAACGTCTTGCCTGACGCTCACAATCGTCATTTCCATGCTTTTCTTTTGTTCCCATCTCTACGCCTCCCCGAACAGCGCAGCTGTGTTTTGCTAGTTTTAAACTCCGTCTGGCTGGAACCGTAACGTGTGTATTCTCTGTGTCTTGTTCCTTCCACTCAGTGTTATTTGTGAGGTTTCCAGGTTGAGACTGTGTTTGTAGTTCACTCATTTTCATTTCTGGAAGATAATCCACTGTGTAAACATGGCACAGTCCGTTTATACATTCTGTTCTTGATGGATATTTCGGTTGTTTCCTGTTTTTTTACTATTACCAGCAATACCGATATGGACAGTTTAGTCCATATCACGGTGCCCATGGGTGGGTAGGTTCTCCCAGAGCCTCACCTTTAGTAGTTACTGCCATTAAGGTGGTTTACTTTTTTTATTGTTTTTTTTTTTTTTTTTACACATTACATTCCCACTAGCAGTGGATGAGAGTTCAGGTTGTTCTGCATTTAAGTTATCTCCAGTATTTAAAGGAGGCTATTCATGACCTTACCGTTTTGAGTAATACTCTCAGAAAAGTAGACTCGACACCTGATCCTCTGCTGGCATAAGAGCAGGGATGCCCTGGACGGTTGTTCAGGCTGCACACTATACAAGAAACACCGACTATTACGCAGACACTATTTACGTTGTCTACATACATTAAGATATATGAGAGCCTGAGAGTTGGCACGGAGATTCCAGAACTTCTGGCCAGTTGTAGATGCTGGTGGAGGCCACAGATTGTGAAATCTTCCCACCTATGTGTATATAACCAGGGACAGATGGTGGAGAAGTGGTCCCAGGTTTGCCCCCACCAGGCTGCTGCCTACCAGAGTTCTGGAAGTGGCTCCTAGAAAGAGCTATTCAGGCTTTGCAATAGTTAACATACTCAGACACTTAATCTTCTCAGACTGTTAATATTGCCAGTCCTGAATCTGTACCAGTTGGTATTTAGAGGTAGTTCAGTGTAGAGGTCTTTTGCATTTTCCTGGTGACTAAAGATGTTAAGTCCATTTTCATATGTTTATTGGTTATTTGGATTTCCTCTTTTGTGAATACCTTCTCTATAAATTTAAATTTTTAATTTTCATAAACCCAAAGCAGTAAAACTCAACAACCTAACCATATTCCCATATATTCAGAGAATTTCATAACAAAGACTTGAGGTGACTCCACAATTCCACTCCGTGTCGGAACCAGCATTGGCAGTTTAGTCAATATCCTTTCCAACGTGTTTCCTACCTTTATATAAACATACCTATATATAAAGGCACATATGCTTTTTTAAAACAAAAATAGAACTATGATATATATATATTACAGTTTGATTTTATGGGTGCACTGTAATCATTTAACCAATCCTCTGTTTATGGAGAATTAGATTGTTTTGTTTTGTTTTTCTTTTTCCTTTATTGCTATTTACAGTGTTGCAATGATATCCTCCAACTACATACAAATTCCTAAAAGTGAGACCATGAGACAATATAGCTCCTTTCAGTTGTTCTCTTGCAGGGAGGGGGCACCAGCCAGGGAGGTCCTTGTGGCCTGGGTCTGCTGTGCCCTTTTGCCTCCTGCCAGGGACAGGCTGACTCACAGAGTTACACTCCATGCTCTTTCTCTCTTTCTTTCCAGGTCAGGGGCAGCCAGTAAGCTCCGTCTTGGAGGTCAGGGAGCTTGACTGGGCCCAGAGCAGCAAGCTTAGCGGGGCCCCAGTTTGTTGGTCAGGGAGGCTGAGAGCTTGTGCAGAAAGTGGACTCTGCTGTTCGGAAATAAGAGAGGCAGCTGAATGCAGCTGCTGGCTGCGGGCCCTGATCAGATTTCAGACCCAAGGCTCCCGGCGTCACTCAGGCCCAGGGCTCGCGAGGTTCCTGGTGACAGCTGGATAGACGTGTTCCAGGCCTCTCACAGCCCATCATTCCTCCTCCGCAGATCTCCCTGGTGAGCCAGGAGCCAGTGCTGTTCGCGCGCTCCATCACAGACAACATCTCCTACGGCCTGCCCGCCGTGCCCTTCGAGGTGGTAGTGGAGGCCGCACAAAAGGCAAATGCCCATGGCTTCATCATGGAACTCCAGGATGGCTACAATACAGGTACAGAGCCCAGAGCATCACCTCCACCGTGCCTGGAGGTCCACCCTCAGGGATGCAACCCTGAGTTATGCACTGCCCTCTGCCAGCTGAAACTCACGTAACATAAACTTAACCACTGTATTTTAAGTGAACAATTCAGCAGCATTTAGTACATTCACAATGCTTTACAACTACCACCTCTGTTTAGTTCCAAAACGTCATTTTTTTTTTAAAAAGACACTTTTTTCTTTTCTTTTTAAAAATTTATTTATTTATTTAATTAAAAATTTTTTGGCCACATTGGGTCTTCGTTGCTGCGCACAGGCTTTCTCTAGTGTGCCGAGCGGGGGCTTCTCATTGCAGTGGCTTCTCTTGTTGCAGAACACGGGCTCTAGAGTGCAGGCTCAGTAGTTGTGGAAAACGGGCTCGGTAGTTGTGGCACACAGGCTTAGTTGCTCCGCGGCATGTGGCATCTTCCCGGACCAGGGCTCGAACCCATGTCCCCTGCATTGGCAGGTGGATTCTTAACAACTGCGCCACCAGGGAAGTCCCCGAAATATTATTATTTAAAAATAATATATGTGTTATATTCATTAATTATAGTGACTTAATTTTATATTAGTAAATAATTTAATAAGTTGAACAATATATTACCTTATAGATTTTATTTAACATATTTAAAAATTTTAACTCTCGCAATGGGACTATTCATACAATTCAAAACTAAAAAAATAGACATAACGATATCCAATGCAAAGTTTTATTTCATCCCGGTCTTCACTGCCAGGTCCCCCCTGCCCCCCACCAAAACATCTTTCATTATTTTCTTACATGTCATTTTGGAGTTTCTTTATGCAAGTATGAATATGTATTTTTATTCCCTCCCGCCCTTTTACAGAGAAAAACCCAGCACATTCTATTCTGCCCCCCGGCTTTTTTAAGTGACCTGTCCATATTGATACCTAGAAAGCTGCTCTTTTTTTAACTACTGCATAGTATTCTGTTGTGTGGCTTTATAATAATTTACTCAAAAATAACTGATTTCCTGTTTCCTGTTGATGGACATTTGGTGGTTTGTTTCTTTGTTGTTTTTTTTTGGCAATAACAGTGCTGTGAGTCACTGTGCATGAGAAGGTGAATCTGTAGGAAATATTCACAGAGATGGGTTTGCTGGTCCAAGGGTTGTGCCTCTGTAACTGTGCTCTGTAGACGTGTACAGCACAACCGGATAGACACAGTGGTGTGTGCACAGCAGCACAGGGCCCGCGCCAGCAGTACCTCAGGGAGAGGGGGGAGTGCCCTTTCCCCTTGGCCACACCAGCACAGTGTGCCATCAAACGTGTGGATTTTTGCCAGATTAATAGGTAAAAGTTGGTATCTTGGTACCAATTGCACATAGTTGTAACTTGCATGCCTCTTACGAACAGGGAGGAAGAGCATCCTTTCATGAGCTTTCCAGCCTGTGGCCCTTGTAGCCCCACCTTTTCCTGGGGAGCAGAGCTCCTGTGGCAGCAGGGAAAGGCGGAGGCAGGGGTTGCTCGCTGCTCCCCAGGGCCACCGGCCTCACCTCCCACTCACTTGCCCCTGTGTCTCTGCCATGCAGAGACGGGGGAGAAGGGTGCCCAGCTGTCGGGCGGCCAGAAGCAGCGGGTGGCCATGGCCCGGGCTCTGGTGCGGAACCCACCCGTGCTCATCCTGGACGAAGCTACCAGCGCCCTGGATGCAGAAAGCGAGTTCCTGGTGAGTCACGGGGTAACGGGCGATGCTGGGGCAGTAGCAGCTCCAGGTGGCCAGAGCCCTCCCTCCCCCCGCAGACTGCTGCAGGGGCCCTCCCAGGCCAGCAGCTTCCTGGACTGGGCTGTCCCGGAGCTGAGGGCAGGGAGAGGGGGCAGAGGAGGCCCAGGGCCTGGCCACCCTGGCCCAGCCTCTGGCTCGAGGCGTTGAAATTATATGGAATTGGGTTAGGGGTCAGGAGGTGTGGGACGTGGATAGGAGCTCCGCCCTGCAGCTCATGGCTTGCGTGTGTCTCTTACCCCCTGAGTCTCATTTCATTGGTAAAGAAAGAAGGGCCCCATAGTGTACTTGAAGAGGACCAGCGACCTCAGTCCCTCCATGGATCAGTTCATTTACTACACAGGTATTTAATGTGAGCCTCCCGGGCACCAGGCGCTATTCTAGGCACCGGGGTTACATTGGCCCCTGCCCTCAAGGTGTTTCCAGTCCAGAGTGGGAGACAGATAACAAGGAGATAAGCATGAGTTCACCCTGGGGCCTGTGCTATGTAGAAAATGGAATAGTCATGTGGGGACTTCCCTGGCGGCCCAGCAGTTAGGACTCCGCGCTTCCAGGGCTGGGCACGCGGGTTCGATCCCTGGTTGGGAGAACTAAGATCCCAGATGCCGCACAGTGCGGCCAAAAAAAAAAAAACAGAAGGAGAAACAGTCATGTGATAGAGAGATTGAGGGAAGGGTCACTACTGTCAAAGAGAAACACTGCTGGACATTAGTTAAAGCTGGGAAAACAGATTTTATTAGTAGCTACTGTCAGTGGGAAAAAGAACTGAGCCCCATTCCTGCGCAGGGGTGACAGTGGTGACGGAGCCTTTCACAGAGAGATTGAGGGCGTAGGGAGGGCCCAAGAGTGGCGGACCAGGAGAAACTCACAAAGGGCTGGGCAGCGCAAGTGTGATCCGTCACCATGGCTGCTGGCCAGCAGCGGTTGTCCTCTACCGAGACTGGGAGACAGGGAGACAGGGGCCCTATCCTTCCCATGATTACAATGAGATGGCATTCAGGTCCTGGAGAAAAACATTCCTGAGTTTTAGGAGATCTGCATATATATCTCCAGGGGACAGGGGAAGGTTTTACAATTATAAGCCCTTTTTGGTAAATGCTCTAAGAAAGGGAGCTCTGGGGCCCACCATCAGGTGATGTCTAGAAGTCAATTCTCCTGGCAGCACTGGGCATTTGGGGGCCGGGGTCATCCTAGCAACAAGGCCTTGAGCTGCAGAAGCCCCCTGGAGTGTGGCCGTCTTAGTGCAGAGTTTGGATGGGGTCACAAGTGCCAAGAATCCTGCAGTTCATGCCAACAGAACCAGGGTCATCAGGTCCCACTTGAGCTGAGACCAGAAAGGAAAGGAGACAGCCAGAGGGGAGCTGGGTAAGAGAGTCCCAGGGACAGGGGGCAGTGGGGGCAAAGTCCCAGAGCAGGTCCACAGCCAAGCCCCAAGGTCAGCGTGGCTGGCGGTGGGGTGAGGCAAGGACAGAGTCATAGGGGGACACAGGCTCCTCAGGCCCTGGAAAGGAGTTTGGATTGTTTTCCATTAATAGATTTTTATTTTATTTTTTTAGAGCAGGTTTAGGTTTAAAGAAAATTAAGCAGAAAGTACAGAGAGTTCCCATATATCCCCCTCCCCGCACCACGAACCATGTCGCCTGTTATTAACATCTTGCATTAGCGGTACATTGGTTCCAGTTGACACGCTGGCATTAATGCATTATTTCTAACTCAAGGCCACAGTTCATATTAGGGGTCACTGTTTGTGTTGTGCATTCTATGGGTTTTGACAAATGCAGAATGTCATGTTATGCAGAATAGTTTCACGGCCCTAAAACTCCTCCAGGAGTTTGGATTTTATCCTAAATGGGACAAGAAGCTCTTGGAGGGCTTGGAGCATGAGTTCAGCAAGAACTGATTTAAAATGTTAAATCCACGTGGGGAATGGATGGGAGCAGGGCAGGAAAGTTGCAGGCTCCAGGCCAGAAGGAATGGTGGCAGAGGTGGAAAGATGGCACAGAGACACACCAGGGAGATGGAGCTACAGGACTTGCTGATGGGTCGGATTCCGGTGATAAGGGAAGGATGAGGAACCAGGTGATGCCTGGTCTTGTCGGCGGGAGCTTCGGGGCTGATGGTGAGACCGTTAACCAAGGCCAAGGTTAGGGGAAGGAGCAGGAAGACAAGAAGACGACCATGTTAGGGGCCCCCCTGTCATCCGCCGGGCGCTGCCCTGTGTCAGGCTCTGAGCTCCGTCCCCCGTGGACAAAAGCCAGGAAGCAGGTCCTGTGCCAGCCCTTGCTTTACACGTAAGGAAGCCTCAGAGAGGCTGAGCATCCGTAGGATGCAGTGGATCTGGGATCCCAGCCGGGACTGGGTGGGGCAGTGGGTGGCGGCGGAGACGCCCGTGTGAGCCGGCGCCCTCCTGTTTCCACAGATCCAGCAGGCCATCCACGGCAACCTGCAGAAGCACACGGTGCTCATCATCGCGCACCGGCTGAGCACGGTGGAGCGGGCGCACCTCATCGTGGTGCTGGACAAGGGCCGCGTGGTGCAGCAGGGCACACACCAGCAGCTGCTGGCCCAGGGTGGCCTCTACGCCAGGCTGGTGCAGCGGCAGATGCTGGGGCTCGAGCCCGCCTCGGACTGCACAGCCGGCCACAGGGAGCTGCCGGGCAACGGCGGTCACAAGGCCTGACCGTGGGCCCTGCCTCTCCTGGTGGGGCAGAGGCTCCAGTGCCCACCTGGCAGATGTGCCCACGGGGGCCCCCCGGCCGCCCCCGCTGCCCTCCGAGCCCAGGTCCATGGCACTGGAGGGCCAGCTGCCCTGTCCCACGTGTCCCCGCTTCCTGCGTCTCGCCCCCAGTTCCCACCCTGTTCCCCGGGCCACCACCAGCCCCCTGCTGCCACGAACGACCCCCTCCAGTCCGGGCAGTGGAGACACCACTGGTCTCTCCAGCTGGTCTCCCAGGGTTTCTAAGTGAAGGTAGAGCTACCTTTTTAAACCAAGATCTTAACCAGGTTTTTTACTGCTTGGTTCTGATGGGCCCCAATCTCCTAGATTTCAAAAACATTTTTCTAATTGGGAGCAATGATGGGCAAGTTCTAGAGACTTCTGAGCCGGGAGTGAATGACCCTTCCTAGGAGCCTGGGGGATGTCAGGGAGAACTAGGCCTCTACCCTTTTCCCCTGGAGAGAAGGGGCTTCCCTGCCCCGGGGCGCGGGGGTGGGGGGAACGCGGGGAGGGGGCTTCCTGTCTCTCCCTCTTCCCAGCTTTGTGAGTCAGGCCAAGGGTGGGTGGGGAGTGGAAGGCGCCTGCCTGCCCTCACCCCTTCCGCCCTCCCAAATCTAAGCCAGTCTCACTGTGAACCACTACGGACCTTAAGTGGGAGAGTGAGGGGCTGGCCAGGCCTGGCGGAGCCTTGGGGTGTCCCTGGCCCAGCGCCCGGCGCTAGCCCCTCCCCCTGCCCCTCCCCTGGCTGGCGGCCCCTTCCCACGTGCACCCTGCCGCTCTGCTCTTCTGAGGCCCCTTGGACGTTTGGGAGTCGCGTTCTCTTCCCTGTCCAGTGGACGGGACACTGGCAAAGCCCAGGTCTGGCTTTGTAGCGGGGTTGCAAATGTTGGGAGAACCCGGTCAATAAAGTATACTACCTCTGACCCCTGACTTCTGACCTCTTCCTGGGCCGTCTGCCTCGTCGCCTGGTTAGGTTTCTCCATCCACTGACTCTCCCCCGGCCCTGCCTGGTGTAGTTGTGGGGAGACTTCGGGTGGTCTAGGGCCTCCGCCCAGTGTCCAGGAGCCCCTTCACGTCCCCAGGACCCCAGCGCAGACATCCGTGTCTGTCTGTCTGCCTCCATGGGGCTTGTGCGGAATAACAGAGACCTGTCTCCTCTAAATCCCTGGGGCTTCTGTACCTCCCGGGAAAGCTGAGACCCAGCAAATGCCACCTGTTTTTTTCCATCAGGGACGCGGCGCCCCACGCCCACCAGCCCATGGCGCCGAGAAATATTACGCAGCAGAACAGCTCAATCAGAAGAGAGGCTTAGAACGGGACACAGGAAGACCTCCTGGTGGTGGTTCTTACTTGCTGGATTGTGTGGAAGTCTGGGGTCCCGGGAGTGGGGGCTGGGCAGTGGCTTTTACCAACTGGTAGAGAAGTATTTGAATACTTTAACTACTGGTACAGTCACACCGCATATACCAGCTCCACGGCTGCCGTGTACCCGTTTTCCTGCCAATTAAACCAAGGCCTGAGACCCAGACTGTTGCCAGCTGGGTCCCCTGCTTGCCCTCAGGGGCTTGGGCCTGCCTGGAGCATCTTATTTATCCAGGACCCTCTGGCTCCCCACCTGAAGAAGCCATCATGAGCCTGAGAACTGGGTCCCACAGCAAGAACCTGCTCGGGCCCAGGCTGGGGTTTCAGGTGGAATCGGAGAGACACCAGGTGCTTATCATCCATTCTCACTTAATCCTCACAACAACCAGTTCTCTCCCCATTTAAAAAATTTTATTTATTTATTTATTTAGGCCGTGTCGTGTGGCATGCAGGACCTTTGTTCCCCGACCAGGCATCGAACCCGTACTCCCTGCAGTGGAAGCACGGAGTCCTAACCACTGGACTACCAGGGAAGTCCCTCTCCCCATGTTAAAGTTGAGGAATCCGAAGCTCAGAGAGGTTAATTATCCCTATGCCACACCGCCAAGACCCCACAGCTAAGCCCCCAAGAGTAGGGAACGAAAAAGTTGCAGGGCATTGTTATCTGGATTCTTTCTGTGCTTACCATTCCATAATAAAAATAAATAGAAATTTTAAAATGCTGTGAAAACCCAACAAGATACATAGGTGAGTTCAATTCAGGCAGGAGGAAAGTTGAGACAGCTGTAAGGGGCTTCCCCATTTATCGTCCCCTCTCTGGGCCTCAGTGTTTCCACCTGGAAAGGGGGATGTGCTGCAAGGATGGAAGGAGAGATTGGACCTCCTGCCTGGGGCGGGGGCTTGGAGGAGGAGTATTGGTTTCCTGCGGGCCGCTAGAACAAATGGCCGCAAACTGGGTGCCTTAAAACAACAGAAACGTATTCTCTCCCGCCGACATCGAGGTGTCGGCAGGGCTGCGCTCCCTCCGAAGGCTCCAGGGGAGATTCCTTCCTGGCCTCTTCCAGCTTCTGGTGGCTCCAGGTATTCCTTGCTCGTGGCCGCATCCCTCCTGTCTCTGCCTCCGTCTTCGCGTGGGTTTCTTCCCCGTGCATCTTAAATCTCCCCCTGCCTTTCTCTTATAAGGACATTTGTCATTGGATTTTGAGCCCATGTGGATAATCCAGAATGATCTCATCTTGAGATTCTGAATCACATCTGCAAAGACCCTTTTTCCAAGTAAGGTCACGCTCACAGGTTCCAGGAATTTGACGTGGATCTCTCTTGCGGGGGGACCCTGCAGCCTTTCATCCGAGTGGCTTTGCATCCCTTGCTCTGCCACTACCCGGGGGCCACTGACCTGGCCCAGGGCCACCTCAAGACTTCCTGTTTGTTTAGGGGGGTGGGGGGATTCGATGCTCGGAGGGCAAGGACAGCCAGGCTTGGGTCGGGCTGGTTGTGATGGGGATCGTGGAACTGGAAGTAGAGGCTCCGGGCTGGACCAGCCTGCTGCTGCCAGGTTCACTCGCCCCTTCGTCAGTCAGATTCTGGCCTCTGGCTGCTGAGAACCCTCCCCCGGCGTCCCACGGCTGCAAGGCCGCTGCCTGCCTTTCGGCCTTAAATCTGACCCTCAGGTGCTCTGCTCCAGCCACACCGCCCTTCTTCCTTCTGGCCCTTGAGCGGCCCAGGCTCATTCTTGCCTCTGAAACTTTACACTGACTGTTCCTTCTGCCTGACACACTGTTCCTTCCCCTCAGTTCCCAGCTGGTTCCTTCTCATTCCTCTTTCAGCTCACGTGTCCCCTCCTCCGCAACAAGTACTGAATGTGGGGTTTCCCCTAGTCACCCTGATCTGTTAATCACAGCACTTGTCACCCCCTGAAATTTTCTCTGCCTCTTTTGTTCTGTTCCAGGCACAGGTCTACATGCTTTGCATGGGCTACGTCACCTAATCCTCATAAAACCCCTGAAAGGTAGGTACAATGTCATGCCCACTTTACAGCTGGAGAAACTGAGGCACAGAGCAGTTAAGTGACTTGGCCAAGACCACCCAGCTAGTAAGGGGTAGAACCAGGATTCACACCCAAGAATTAGTGTGTGTGTTTGACCCCAAACACAGAACACCCGTGAGAGTGAAGATTTAAGGGCATGGGTTGGGGAGGGTATGTTGACATTGCAGCAAAGGCTGCAGGTCAAACATTAGACTTGAGTTCTCGAACATAAGTGCCTCTAGGGTGACCACCTAGAGGGGTGGGATAGGGAGGGTGGGAGGGAAGGAGACGCAGAGGGAAGAGATATGGGAACATATGTATATGTATAACTGATTCACTTTGTTATAAAGCAGAAACTAACACACCATTGTAAAGCAATTATACTCCAATAAAGATGTAAAAAAAAAAAAGTGCCTCTAGGAACCAGGTAGATATCATAGGCAAGTGAAGCCAGCCAGGTGTAAGAAAAGTCTGACAATATCTTGGTTTCTCTTTTCCACTTTTGACATGGTGCAGAGAAAATCTGTTCCGTTAGAAGTAGAATATGGTGCAAACTTGAGGATAAATGGTAACCGAGGCTCGGTGTCAGTAGCTGGTGACAACAGGGACTGGTGGGGACCGTGGCAAATGGGAGAGCGCACGTCCGCTTCAAGGGGTTGCCTGGGACTCGGCTCCGGCCCTTTGGGGTCATGCAGGAAGGTGGCCTTGAGTTAGCAGATCTTCAGATGTTTCCAGAGAAGTTGGAAATTTCCAATTTTAATGTGAGATCGACTGCTTTTTATAGATTGGCTCAATTATTTTTACAAAAGTAAGGGTAAATAATATAACACATCTCTAGTCCTCAGCCTGTGGAACATCCATTTGCAGCCTCTGTGTTGGACATTCCTGTTCCCCAAAGTCCTTGGAGCTTCCCCAGCAAAGCGGTTCTACTTGCCATGGGGGACCCCCAGCCCAACCCTGTTCCAGCCCAGGTGCCTCCCTCCCCCCTCCCCCCCGCCCCTCTCTTCGCCTCATCCCTCCCCTCCCAGCTGGGAGCTCCAGATTCTCCCTCTCCCATGCCAAAGAGTCAGCTCCAGCTCCCTAAATTGCAAAGTGGGCCCTAGGCAGGCAAAGGACAAAAGAACCTTCTGGAGACCAAGCAAGACCCTTTTTAGAAGGCATATATGATTTTTGAAAATACATGTTTCATTTTGGAATCATTTTAGATTTACAGAAAAGTTGCGATGATGGTAGAGGGCATTGCTATATACCCTCACCCAGCTTCTCTTATGTTAACATCTCATGTGTTCGTGATACATTTGTCACGACTAAGAAACCTACACTGGCACAGCACTGGCAATGAAATGCCAAGCTTTTTTTGGATTTCACCAGCTTTCCCACTATGTCCTTTTTCTGTTCCAAGATCCAATTCAGGGTACCACATTGCATTTAAAGACAGGTTTTTAAAATTGTTTTTACTGTGATAAAATATACACAACATTTACCACTAACGACATTTAGTACATTCACAGTGTGGTACAACTGTCACCATTATCTCGTTCCAGGACATTTTATCACCCCCTCCCAAAACTCTGTCCCCATTAACAGTCACCATCCACTCCCCCTCCACCAGCCCC